ACCTCACACATCCCCGCTCTGTCCCCTCGACCCCCCCCCCCCCGCCCCCCACTCGACCGCTTTCTACCCCAGGTGTGCGTGCCGCTCTTTGATCAGATCCGCCGCTGGGTGTTTGAGGGCCGACTGATCGACCCCCACCTCGAATTCTTCATCGTCCAGTCTGCCGCCCTGCCGACCCCAGACGCCGGCGCCGCAACGGGTCGGGGCGGCGGCGGCGGCAGCGGCGGCGGCGGCGGTGCAGTGGGCGGCGGGTGGAGGGACCCGTGGCGGGAGGTGTACCGGATAGAGGGCGCGAAGCTGCCGCCCTTCATCAGCAGGTGCGGGGGCGCGAGGAGGCGTGCCGCTGCCGCAGAGGGCGCGGCAAGGCGCGCGAGTGGCGCGGGAGCCGCGGCGCCGAGTCCGCGGCTTAAAGGAGGAGTTTGTTCCCGGCCCTCCGGCCGAGCGAGGCGGGAGGGCGCCGCCAGGGCGCCTCTGCGCTGGTCGCGGGTTCCTCTCTGGCCATCTCTGGCTACGGCGCGATCTGAGGGAGCTTGACATCATCAACATGGCTGTCGCCGCGCCCCTGCTTCCAACTTCATGGCCGTGCCGGCAGGTCCCTCGCGGAGAGCGTCCTGCGCGCCGGCAAGGGCATCAACTTCCTGCGGGACTCGTGCGGCGACGCGGCGTGGGTGCAGGCCCGCGCCGCCGGCGACGCGGCGGCGCGCGGCGGCGGCGGCGGCGGGGGCGGCGGCGGCGGGCAGGTGGCTGACCTGGAGGTGGCGGTTGCGCGCGCGACGCGGGAGGTGGACGCGCGGCTGATGGAGGTGCTGCGGGAGCGGCAGGGCCTGGCGCGGCACTGCGACGCGCTGCGGCGATACGTGCTGCTCGGGCAGGTGGGGGGGACGGGCGTGCGCGCGCGCATGCAGGGCGCGGCAGGTGCGTGCGGCGGACGAGCCCGGTGGGCGCGTGCAAAAGCGCAGAGATCAAGGGCGCGGGCTCGCGGGCTACCAGCGGGCGCTACCCGGCTGAGAACAGGCTGCAGCTACTGGAAGCCGGGCTGCGTGGATGCGTTCAACATGCGGTGGGTTACCCGGGCGCTCAAGGGCGGGCTCCGCGTGCTGGCCGACCGCAGGGTGACTTTGCGGTTGCGCTGCTGGACGCCATGGGGCCGGAGCTGGCAAAGCCGGCGCACGAGGTGGGGGTCGGCCGCGTGCGGACGCCTCGCGAGGGCCCCCTCTGGCCCGCCTGCTTGTCTGCGTGCGCTCGGGGACCTGGATGCGGACGGGCAGGGCGTGCGCGGAGCCCGGGTGACAGGGAAAGCCGCGTGAGGCATGTTTTTGGCTTACCTACAGGAATACCCTTCCTCCCACCCGCACATGCAGACGTCACAACACACACACACACACACACACACACACACACACACACACACTCACACCCAACGCCCAGGTGTCGGAGGTGACGCTCAACCACCTGCTGCGCCAGGCACTGCTGAGCAGCGCCGCGCGGGGCGATGACGAGGACACGCTGGACCGACTGAGGGCCAGGAAGGACCCAGGGGCAGGGGCGCGCGAGGTACGGCGCGGCGCGCCGCGGCGCGGGGCGGTCGGTGCTCGGGGCCCCGAGCCCGCGGGCTTGCTGTGCGCTTGGGAGCTGCAGGGCCGCGCGGGCGTGCGGCCCTCGCTCGCCTGCCACCCGAGCCGCCGGGGCAGTTGACGCGACCTTTCATTCACCCGATGCACTTGATACACTCTCGTGCCGCCATGCGCATGCGTGCACACACACACGCACACGCACACACCCACACACCATGTGATCGACTCCCTTGATGCAGGCCGGCTGGGACGTCTTCTCGCTGCACTACGAGCTGGGGCCGCCCCTCAACAGCGTCTTCACGCCCGCGGCTCTCGCGTCCTACCGCCGCGTCGCCAAGCTGCAGTGGCGCCTCGCGCGCGCGGAGCGCAGTCTGGGCCTCGCGTGGCGCACGCTCAAGGCGAGCGCCGGGAGGGGGGGGCTGGCAGGGGCGCGCGGGGCTGGCAGGGGCGCGCGGGGCTGGCAGGGGCGCGCGGGGTTGGGAGGGGCGCGCGGGGCTGGCAGGGGCGCGCGGGGCTGGCAGGGGCGCGCGGGGCTGGCAGGGGCGCGCGGGGCTGGCAGG